TATCAATATTATTTTCTAATTAGAAATATGTGATGATTTTAAGTAAAGTTTTATATTGTTTTATTTGAAATTCTTGAATATGTAAGAAACATATATGCTTCTTTTTTGTTTTTGATTATTATTTCAAAATTGTTTATTTCAATTTCTATGTTCATATTTGAATTATATAAGATTCATATATCATCGTGCTTATAATTTTTTGAATTTATTAATTTTTATTGATTGATCATAAAGTTTTTGCAATCGAGTATATAGGAATCAAACCCGCAAAGTTAGCTTGGAAGGCTAAAGAATTTAGTCGATTTATCATCTTTATATTTTTAACGTGTCAAATTAAACACCACTTTGGTTTTATTCACCAACTTTATGATGAATATTTTTAATTTTTGTTCTTCATATAAGTATACCATGAATTATTGTTATGTGATATATCTTTCATTCGAAATAATTTTGAATTAATAATTTTAGTGGTTAAAGAAACAAGGCAACAATGAAAAAGTAAATATTGTTTTTACTTTTGAAAGAAAATTTCTACTTACAACGTTGTTAATTAATTTTTTGTCAGGTTTGATTTTAATTTTTTAAAAAATAAACCCGTCCATCGGACGGGTCCCTATCTAGTTTTGTATAATTCAGTATTTTATAGTCTTTTCCTAATTTTATATATACAACTAAGTCTTTGAAAATTACAGTTTTATATTCGAGATCTTTGATAATTATATTGTTTTGCGCTAAGTCTTTAAAACTCATATTTGTATTGTAAGGATTAGATCTCTGATCTCGAATACTTTATTGCGTCGGAGCTAATTCTCTCTATTTAACGAATAATACTAACTTGGCCTCATTCTATTTATTTTTTATTAATTCTGGAAGAATTATTTTATGTTGATGTATCAACTCCACAACTTTTTTCAGTTTTTCTTTATTTTTTCTTAATTTAATTTTATTATCAATTTGCTTAACATATTATTGCTTATTCTCATTATCTTTAAGCTAATTGGAAAAATAAAATATAAAAAGGATTTAGAATAATTGTGTGTTTAATACATCATAAGTATCAATAATTATATTTTAATATATAGAAGATATAGGCTATGGTCGTTTCATAATCGCTAGCGGCTGCGACTGCGGCTCGCGATTACGACTGCGATTTTAAGTCGTGGGATATTGTTCGTTTAGTACTCGTGCGACTGGTCGCGAAAGCTAGTCGCAAGGTTTCAAATAATTTTGCGTTTGACACGTAACCTCAGTTATTTCAAGCGTTGACTTTTTTATATGAGAGCTGTGTTGTTAGTTTCAAGTTGGGGATTCAATATGAGATTCCAATTTGAAGAAATTTTTATTTAAGTGTAGGGATACGAATTTTAATATGGATATTCTTTTCAGTTTATTTTAATTAGTGTTAGTTGTCAAATTAACAAATTTTTAATTTGACTATGTTTAAGAGAGTATAAACTTTTATTGTTACAAATTTAAGCATTATTGGCATATTTTATAATTCAGTATTTTATAATATTTCCTCATTTTATATATCCATCTAAGTCTTTGCAAATTACAGTTTTATATTCGAGGTCTTTGATAATTATATAGTTTTGCGCTAAGTCTTTAAAAATCACATTTGTATTGTAATGATTAGATCTCTGATCTCGAATACTTTATTGCGTCGGAGCTGATTCTCTCTATTTGACGAATAACACTAACTTGGCCTCATTCTGTGTTTTTTTTTTTTTTTTTTCTAAAAGTATTTTTTCTTGTTGATATATCAAGCCCACAGCTATTCTCAGTTTTTCGTTATTTCTTATTTATTTAATTTTATTATCATGTTTACTTAACATATCATTGCTTCTTCTTATTATCTTTAAGTTAATTGAAATAATAAATTCAAAAAGGATTTAAAATAATTGTGTGTTTAATACATAAGCATCAATAATTCTATTTTAATATATAGAAGATATATTCAATTATACCAAGCGGTGACTTTTATATATGAAAGTTGTGTTGTTAGTTTGACTAGATAAAGAACTCGCGCTCTGCCGCGGGGTATTTTTGTAAATTAGCTTTGTTTTAATATAATTACAAATATGATTGGTAGAAATTTGAAATGATTCTAGGATTGGGTATTTTACCTTTACTCAAATTTTAATATTTTATTATTTTTATTATATACGCACACATTAATAAATACATGTTATATATTATTTTTATAAAATAAATGTACCGTATAGTCAATTTTTGTATTTGTTTTTTTTGTTTTGTTTTATTTTTATAATTACAAGTATGATTGGTAGAAATTTGAAATGATTCTAGGATTGGGTATTTTACCTTACTCAAAATTTAGTATTTTATTATTTTTATTAGATATGCACACATTAATAAATACATGTTATATATTACTTTTATAAAATAAATATACCGTATAGTTAATTTTTGTATTTGTTTTTTTTTGTTTTTTATTTATTTTTATAATGTGTATAAGGTTTTACAAATATCTGATTTCTTTTTAATATATTTCAAGAACCTTACTTTTTTTTAGTAAAGATACACATGGTGCACAACCATAATTTAAATAACACTTAAAATATTTAACATAGACTTTCAATTTTTAAAACTATTCTTTTAACCTTTAAATCACAATGATTTGTTAAAATGATACCTTATAATTTATTTTATTAATAATTTTAATATAAAATTATTATTCCAATTATGTTTGTGAATTTAGTAAAAATTTTACTCATTTTCGTAACTAAAGGAGAAACCCACAATCTCGATGTTAGCAGAAAATCAAGGTAACACTACTTGACTATTATTTTATAACGCAATTACACCGTATAAACGTAGATAAAAATACAAATATTTGTCACCATTATTTTTTTTATTTTTTTATTTGATATACTCAGTTAACATCATTATTATGTTTATAAAGTCAGACTATAATTTACAAAAATGAAATATCTAAAAATAATATTGAACCAAATCAAACAAAAAAATGGAATAGACAAGCTTATTTAAATTTATATAATTGTATTATTTAGTGATTTAAAAATCCTTACAATTAGGAAAATGAACTATTCGTCCAATTAAGATATTTTATAAATTTTGTTTATGTTAATAAAAGCTGATGTGTATATTTATTTTAATTTGATTGATTTTACTTTTTAAATGAAATATCAGCTTCTAGTAAGACATAAAGTAATAAAAGTGATTAGTGGCTTAATTAAGAGTATAGTTATTAAACCAAATTCTAGTAGTACAAAATCAAAATTTTGGTGGACGTGAATATAAAAAAAATTATGTGTAAACTGAATCGGTACATGTTGATTGTTGAGTTATATAGTAATTTTTTTCTTATAAACATCTTAAATATAATTATGTTATGTAAAAATAACTATAGATATAAAGTTTATATTTAGATATTTGATCAATTCCATCAAATAATAATAATAATTTTTATGTGTCAACATTACATAAGCTAATGTGTATTCATTTTATTTATAATTTGATTTTTTTTCTCTTTGAACAAATTAGAAATCCATGTATCATTATTATTAAAAAAAAAAAGTATGTGTATTATATGTTTTAATTTGATTGATTGTCTTTTTAAAATGATGTATTTTTTTTAATAGATAGATGATGTGGCATGGAAAGCTGATGTGTCATGCTGGAGAGATGAGTTGTATTAATGTGTTTTGATCGGGTATCATTTTTAATGATGTGTCAAAAAGCAGATGTGTCATTGTTGGAGAGACTCTTAGTAGTTTTATTTTATTGATTCAATATGAAATTCCGATTTGAAGGAATTTTCATTCAAGTGTAGGGATATGAATTTTAATATGGATATTATTTTCATTTTATTTTAAATAGTGTTAGTTGTCAAGTTAACAAATTTTTAATTTGACTAAGTCTTTAAAAATTCACATTTGTACTGTAATGATTAGATATGTGATCTCGAGGTCTTTGATATTATATTTTTTATAAAAGTCTTAAAAATTTCGCAACACTTTCATATTTGCAATCATGATAATTATAAGAGAAAATTAGCTGTTATACCACATTTCACCGAAACATTTTTGGTTCTACCACTTCATATACTCATTTTTCTCTTGTACCACAATTGTCATTGGTAAATACCATTTTACCCTCCAACATGAGAGACCAAAACCTGTAATTGATGTGCCCCTCTGACTTTTCTGTCTTCCTTTATTTCTCTACATTGGTAACTACAATTTTCTCTTTCTTTATTTGTTGTTACATTTTTATTTTCTTTATTTATTTCTTTCACTTTCACTTTATCTCTCTCTTTGTCTAGTTCTTTCTCTCATTTACGACAAAAAAAATTTTCATATAAACATTCTCTACTGTTGTCCAGATCTTGTCCCCGATTGGGAATTCTCTGTTGCGTTTAGATCTTGTCCCCGATTCATCATTTTGTTTTATTATCATGAATTCTACATTTTGTCTACCAATTGTTCTCGTTTAAGGGTTTTGAATTTTATTTAGATTTCTCGGCATCTATTTTGGTCCACAGATTAGTCGAACAATATTGTCCTCACTTACCCGGATTATTGAACCTTTTTTTTCCCTCTGGCTGGTAAAACAAAGTTGTCCCCGAGTAAATCCAGATCTTCGTCTTCGGCTCTCTGGCGGAATAAAATAAAGATCAAGTTGTCTCCGAGTAAATTCAGATCTCTTGCTGGTAAAACCACATCATCTGACGATGGACAATCAAGAGAAGTTGTCCCCGAGTAAATCCAGATCTCTGGCTGGTAAAACCACATCATCTGGCGATGGACAATCAAGAGATCTGGACTTATTCTTGGGGGACATCATTCACTCTATTTCATAATTATTGTCCATGGTAAATGTAAACTGCATTTAATGCAATGTTTTGTCCTCCTTCTCTGACACAAAGTTGTCTTTCAGACAAAGTTGTCCTTCTCTGACACAAAGTTGTCCCTGTTTCCCAACCGGCGTCTACTGTAGCTCATTCCCCTGACACATACCTGACGCACAGAGAAGGGCAAAATCGTCCAAGAATTGCCACACAAACACCAAATGTGGTATGGATGCTAAATCCATTTCAAATGTGGTACATTTGCTAAGATTTTCCCAAAATGTGGCACATTTGGCAAAATTCCCTAATTATAATATCATATAAAATTAATTTTCAGTTATCTGCAACGAGATATTCAATCATTGGTTTTGTGAAAAACGTGTATAAAAAGAGCAGAGAGAGTATGAAGCATAATGGCACCTACACACAAATCATTATTCGCTCCTCCCTCAAAATTCATAAAATCTCTCTCAAGTCAACGGCTCTTGGCAGCTCGATGCAGTCGGAGAAGCATATTGTTTCCTTATGCCCTGAAGCTGAGGTCGAATTTGAGGAAGGAAGATTCCAAGTGACGGGGAAAATTTGGCGCATCACTGAAGAAAAGTGTGAATCTGACTATGAGAAGCGCCAGAAGTGGATCGACGTAGGAGGCACCCAGTATTATTACTGCGATAAATGCAATGGCGAAGACCACGAAAAATTTGGTAAGACTTTGTCTGAGATCATACACCCTCTTCATCCAAAACATCCTCTCCAGCTTGTTTATCTTAGACATTTGAGGCGCACGCTGCGGACCAAGGAATGCTATTGTTGTGAAAAAAATATTGCGCCTTTCTTTTACTATTGCCCGATTTGCGAGTTTTGTATGAATGTAGGTTGTGTGAATAAGACAACACACTTCTCTATAGATCATCCAAAGAAGCACGAGCATAAACTCGTCCTGTTTCCGCGACAGACATCACTAACTTGCAACGTCTGTGCGTTGGATAATTCAGAAGGTCCCATCTATATGTGCCCCCCTTGTGACTTGGTAATTCACAAAAGTTGTTTCAACTTACCAAGCGTCATAAAGATTTCACGTCATCGCCATCGTATCTCCTTCAAGCTTTCTTTTGTTTGGGGAGATCGGCTATGTGGTGTTTGTTGCAAAAAGATTAACAGCGACTATGGAGGATTTTCTTGCAACAAGGAGGGTTGCTCTTATGCCGCTCATTCAAGATGTGCCACACGGAAAAATGTGTGGGACGGAAAAGAGCTGGAAGGAAAACCAGAAGATGATGATGCCATGGATGATGACCGTGATCCATATGTGAAGATTGGTGATGGAATCATAAGGCATTTTCGACATGCACATCATTACTTGAGGCTCGACAAAGATACCAATAGAGTTTACAACGAAAACACACGTTGTCAAGCATGCATCATGCCTGTCTACCACGGTAACTTCTACTCTTGTATGCGGTGCGATTTTATCCTACATGAAACATGTGCAAATCTTTCTCGCACAGAACATCACCCGATGCATCCACATCCGCTTAAGCTAGTTGCTCAATATGACGACATGTTCAAGCCTTATAATACGTGTTCAGCTTGTTCTCAACCGTGTACTGGTTTCATGTACAAGTGTTATAGAAGAGGATGCAATTTCAGGCTACACATACAATGCGCCACTATTACCGAGCCATTTATCCATGAAAGTCACATGGATCCGTTATTTCTAACATCAGCACCCGGAGAACAAAGATTGTGCCGGATTTGCAAAAACTACAAAGAAACGTTCAACTGCATTGAGTGCGACTTTGCTTTGTGTTTCATATGTGCTATTTTACCGCATAAGGTGAAGTATAAGCATGATGAACATCTCCTCTCTCTTTCTTATGGAGAAGATACAAGTGCTAGGTATTGGTGTGAGGTATGCGAGTCAAAAATCAATCCAGAAGAGCGATTTTATTCGTGTGATAAATGTTGCGTCACTCTACACATTGAATGTTTGCTCGGGAAGGACTTATACATAAAGCCTGGTTCATATGTGTGCCACAAGGGTAAGAAGATCGATGTTTTACTCAATAATCGCATGTCTAGACCAAGTTGTATGCGTTGTGCCAACCGTTGTCAAGACAAGTTAGTCTACAAATATGTTCGCTCACTATCATTCTGTTCTTTGCATTGTTTCGTTCCGTCTTTGTTGAATTTAAGGTAGTACAAGTGCAGTCCACGCTACGAGTTTGTTGGTTTAAATATATCCATTTGTATCCAATTATATTTGAGTGATTTCATATCAGAAGATAGTTGAAAAGTTCTTTAAATGCATAAAATTTACTTAAGCAAAAGGTAACAAAAATTTTGTTGGTTGAGCAAGATATGGTTATAAGCTTTTTGACTAAACCGAGAGTAAAGGTCAAATGGGGTGAGATGTATGTCGCTGAAAGTTTAACAGAATGAATAAGAGAGATTGTAATATGCCAATTTCGTCACTAAATTAACGAGTGTATTGAGTACATCTGGAAAGAATCAAAATTTACCATAGAGATAAACTAGATTACTACGATGCATAAAAAGTAAACCACCGGTGTAGATAATTAGATATGCTTAGCTAAAATCATTCTTACATAAAGTTGTCACTAATAAAAATAGAAAACGTTCAATTTCCACTATTGATATGATTTTCCAAAAAATCAAGAGTCAAAGCGGATTTAAAGAATCAAAATCCAAGATTAGGGAATCGTAAGAGTCAAACTCAAAAGAAGAAAACACTTTGTCTTTCGACGGTTTACTGACGGAAAATGATTTGTCGATTTTTTTGACGATATCCCTAAAAGCTAACGTCGAGAATGGTATTTTCGTAAACCGTCCATAATTTTTAACAAATCATAGTACGTCAGTAATTTGTGACGATTTCTCGACAGAATTCCAATCGAATATATCTGTTAGTAATATGATCCTGGTTAGAAGATCTTAGTCCCTTGATGCACTTCGTGTAGTTGTCGAATAAATCAAGTTAAAAAGGATGCGGAATGAGTAAGAGTGTGATCGAGTAGACTTGATGATAGGTTGATCCGACGATGTGATCGAGTAGAGGGTCGGGTAGGAATGATAGTGGTGTTTGGATGGTGATAAGACTTGATGGTGATCGAGTATGGATGATAGGTTGATCCGACGATGTGATCGAGTAGGTTGTAATCGAGTGGGAAGTGAAACGGTTTGAATGTTGATGGTGAGGAACGAATCAAATGATTGTTGGAGCTCGTGATCGAGTAGGATGATGATTTGATGATGATGAACGAACCAATGATGAAAGCGAGATCGAGTGATGGCGAGGAGATGTGATGAAGGTGAAGACGATGCGATCGAGTAGATTAGTGGTGATGGTGATGATGCGATCGAGTAGAAGAGGGGTCGAGGGAAACTTTCAAAGGCTGCGGGATTCCTTCGAACTTTCGGGCTTGATCATGCTTGGATATGACACACCAAGAGCATTCACAAGATGAATTCGAGATATTACACACTCAAACTCAAGATCAAACAAAATCAGAAAAGATGATTGATAAGAAATTGTTTGATGAGTTCGAATACAAGGAGAAGAACAGAATATAAAGAAGTAGAAGAGTCTAGGAAGTTGTAGAGTCAACCTTGGGAAAGAAAACGAAATAAACACACAAGACTGAATTCGAAATTAAAACGGGCTTCTCCTTGGCAATGGGCTGCGAGACAACAACGGGCTCGAGTAAAGAGTGTGTGGGCTTGCCTCGTTAAAAACCTCTCTTGGAAAACCCATTGGGACAAAACCAAGAGGAGGGAAAAAGAGTGCAAGTCACACACCTCCATTGTTATCACTTGAAAGGCTTTAATCGTAACCAATGCGGTTGGACAAGCATCATGTTCAAGGCTGCCCTCAATCTGTTGTAGAAGTGTTGTAATGACTTGATTTAGTAGCTTTGTCTTTGATCTTGTCATGGGACCGTTGGAAAGATACAATGTAACATTCTCTTCAGCTCCAAGCTCTCCATCTTCATACTTGGTCGAGTGCTTGATCGAGTGGTCCATTGAGTCATCAGTTTCAAGCTTCATTGAGTCTTCAGCTGCATGGTCGATTAAGTGGTCGAGTGACTGGTGGTCGAGTAGTTGGTCGAGTAGTAGGTGGAGTGACTGGTCCATTGAGTGCTCGATTGCCTGCTCGATTGACTGCTCGATTGCCTGCTCGATTGACTGGTAGACTGACTGGTCAAGTAACTCTTCTGGTTCAAGCTGCTCCTTAGCTTCGTGTTCCAAGCTTCCCAATATCACATCATCCTCTCCCAGTTGAAAAGGATTTGACCTCAAATCTGTTTTATCTGCATCAAAAGAAACAAAGTAAGTAACATTAAAACCTTTACCAATATTGTACTTACCTTGGAGATCAGTTGGATGATGTTTGTTGTTGTTATGTTGGAGCACTTGAAAGGGTCTATCCATCCTTGGCTTTAGCTTCAGCTTGTATATTCCATCTGGTGGTGCTTCTTTGATCAGTATGTAGCTACTGAGGTCTTGATGTTTATCTTGGTCCAAATCAGGTGGTTTGAATCGGTTATCTTCCTCTCTTCTTCTAGTACTTCCCATGTTCTTCAAGACTGCCTTAACACCTGCATGGGGCTCTTTTGACAAAGACAAGCGAATCATATCTGTGTGATAAGGAATAAAAGGCTTTTTGAGAATGTAAACACTTACCTTAGGGATGCTCCTCTGCTCAAATAATGCATCTGGCGGATTCTCCTTGAGTTGAATGGAACACATGAGTCTTTCTCCTTGACCAAGCATCAACACTGAATTACCGTTAGTGAAATCCCTAGTTTCACTCATGTATCTGTCTTTGGATTCTTTTCGGATGTATGGAGGTTGATGCCAATCAGGAGGCTTTTCTTTGATCGTCAATGGATTTAGTGCACCTTTAGCTCTTCTCAAGTCTTCATGGCTATGGTGTAGGATATTGAATGTGCTTTTCCTTGATGTCAATTCTCCTAAATATTTATGCTTCTCCATTGCTCCTGTTCTTTTCTGAGCACTCATGGGACAGAGCAAGTGCATTATACTTGAAGTAGAAAATTCAAGAACATGATCTTTCACATTGGGATTGCAAAGCTCAATGAATGGGTTCAATTCACATGACATGTTTTTAAGCACATGTTTTGTTTCAGAAAATGTTTTAACCAATGCATATTCAGTTTTACTTCTAAACAGCTCAAATGCATTGCTACACAAAGAAATCCTCAAAGAAGAGCTAAATTCATGAAACTCATCAAAAAGAAAACCGTTTGACCTAAAGAATTCTTCAGGTTTGAATGCTTCAAAAGTTGGAATCATTTTGTCAAAAACAGATTTTGAAACACGAAACTCTTTTACCTTTTCTAAACCAAAACGTTTTTCATCTTGAGCAGAAACTAACACAAACAAATTAGTTTCCTTACAGTGCTTTAGTTTGCATCCATTTGCCTTACGGATTGGTTTTGGAACGAAGTCGAGTGGCTGCTCCAAGTGACTAACTGAAGGAAAACTCCTTGGTGTTTCTTCTAGTGATTCATCTTCTACGACCTGCGAAACAGTAACAATACTACTCGGATGCACCGGTTCTAATTGGATTAGTGTTTCACAAGCTTGATTATTTTCAAGCACAAAATCAGGTTTCTTAGACAGATCACACGTATCTTTCACAATTTCAGTAGGAAGAGGAAACTTAGCTGTTTCTAAGGGAGAAGGAAGAGCACACTTAGCTTTCTTGGGTTTGTTATAAGTGTTGAGAATCTTGAGAACTTCTTCTTTAAATTGTTCTTCTGCTATGGAGTTGCTCCTAGTGCTTTCCTTTTGTTCCTTGGGAGCTAAGCTCTTCTTATGATGATCAGATCTCTCTTTAGTAGCAAAACGTTGATGGGAGACTGGTTTCTTTTCTCTAACTGCTAACTCTTGGACTGTGGCTTTAGCTGGTGGAGTGCGGCTTGGTGCTTGCGGAGCATACTTATTCCTTAGTAGTTTCTTAAGATCTCTCCACGAGGTGATAGGTGGCTCCTTGTAATACCAACGATCATCAACTTCTTGTACCCACCATTTGTAAGCGTCTCCAGTGAGTTGGCTAATTGCACAGGCTAATCTCTTCTCGCTCAGGAAGTTGTGGTAATAAAACCATTCGTCCATGTTTTTCTCCCACTCTAGGTAGTCTCTTTTTCCTGAAAATTTATAGAGTGCATTAGCAGGTGGAGAATCACAATAAAGCACAGGTTTGGATTTAGGAGTATGAGAGATTTTCTGCAGGCTGCTCCATGTGGATCTCAATGTGTTGTCTGGTGGCTTGGGTTTAAGCTCTTGTTCCTTTCTTTTCTTGTAAGCCTCAAATTTCTCGTCCATCATTTTTGTCATTGTGGCTGTGAGAGCTTCAAGCACTAGTTTGCTGCAGTTTTCTCCTTCCTTTGCGTTCACCATGTCCCTGCAATGACCAAAACAAAATAAACAAGTAAAGTGTTCCTTGTAGATCGAGTAACAAAGCAATCAGAATCTGAAAAGTCAAGATTCTACACAGCTTCTAAAGAACCCCAATCGAGCAAGCATAGAAGTCAAAGAGTTTTGTTCCTAATCGCTCGATCGAGTACATATTTGACTAGTTCAGAACGTGATCTAAACGATTTAACAAGTTTCATTCAAATCGGATAAGTACTCAAGCCTAAAACGATGAAACAATTTCGCAACACAAATCAGAAGTCGAAAAGTCTAGATTGATACAACCTGACACGAAGTGGCTCTGATACCACTTAATATGATCCTGGTTAGAAGATCTTAGTCCCTTGATGCACTTCGTGTAGTTGTCGAATAAATCAAGTTAAAAAGGATGCGGAATGAGTAAGAGTGTGATCGAGTAGACTTGATGATAGGTTGATCCGACGATGTGATCGAGTAGAGGGTCGGGTAGGAATGATGGTGGTGTTTGGATGGTGATAAGACTTGATGGTGATCGAGTATGGATGATAGGTTGATCCGACGATGTGATCGAGTAGGTTGTAATCGAGTGGGAAGTGAAACGGTTTGAATGTTGATGGTGAGGAACGAATCAAATGATTGTTGGAGCTCGTGATCGAGTAGGATGATGATTTGATGATGATGAACGAACCAATGATGAAAGCGAGATCGAGTGATGGCGAGGAGATGTGATGAAGGTGAAGACGATGCGATCGAGTAGATTAGTG